TGACCAATATTAGCCAACATTAACAGCTTTTTACATCAGGACCATTGCATACACCTGAGAACAACCTTAGGCTTAGCATCCCTGCAAGCCATTAGACTCTACAATACCTCATCTCTGTCAGACGACAGAGAAGTCTTGAGTAGCCCACCATATCAAAATGTGTGTAATGTAGCAGGGTGACTGGGGAGGCTAATATCAATCCCCCAATAAATATCAATACCCTTATAGTTTGCCAATATAGTTTGAAATGATAGTTTTTGCTCTTTAATTGTTTTTGCCTTACTTGCTTTTGGTGAGGCTCCCACAAATGTATGCATGTGAGTAAAGGCACAGTTGGAACACGGCATTGCATTTTGTTTTACTGTATTGCACTTTACTTAAGTAAGCAGTCGCACTTCTGGGTACTCCTCAGTATAGTCTGCTTGTCCACAACTGGCCTCAGCTCCTGTTTTCATAGATTTGTTTGTTTGGTTTATGCTGGACAATTGTTTTAAACATTTATGGTACAACACTTTTATAATTTATGACTTTTGTATGATTTTAATAATTAATGTAGTAAAAGGATCCTTTTACCTTTTTATCAGATTCTTAAATTCTCGCTGCTTTACAGTAAGCGTATTCTGCCACTTCCGGTTGTCGGTGTCACTGCCACAGTGCTCTTGGCTGCTCACCTAAACAGATTTTCGCATATTGCTCACATCAGGGATTATCTGCACATTTTTAGACTATCCTTAGACTTGTTCTGTTTGCGCACTAACAGGTCTCTTAATTTTAGCAACACTTTAGTTCTGATAGTTTTACTAGTGTGTTAGTTACACTAGCTAGCCTAGCTAGGGCAATGGCTTCTCTCTGCTCTCCTGCTCTCTCCTCTCCTGCTCTCTCCTGCCCACTGTGCCACATGTTTAGCTACTCCTCCTCGTCCTCCTTTAGCGATAATGGTACTTGTAATAAATGTAGTTTATTTGTTGCCTTGGAGGCGAGGCTCAGTGATTTAGAGGCACGGTACCGCACCACCGAACAGTCAGTAGCTGCAAGTCACCTGTAGCCGGTGCGGTACCACCGAAGGTAGCTTCAGCTAGCCGTCCCCCAGCAACCCCCGAGCAGCCGGGAGGCTGGGTGACTGTTCGAAAGAGGCATAGCCCCAAACTGAAGCCCACGGTACACCACCAACACGTTTCTAACAGATTTTCCCCGCTCAGCGACACACCCGCTGAGAGGCCAACTCTGGTTATAGGCAGCTCCATTTTACGAAACGTGAAGTTAGCGACACCGGGGGCCATAGTTAAATGCATCCCGGGGGCCAGAGCGGGCGACATCGAGTCTAATTTGAAACTGCTGGCTAAAGATAAACGTAGATATAGTAAGATTCACGTCGGCGGTAATGACACCCGGTTACGCCAGTCGGAGGTCACTAAAATTAATGTTTCATCGGTGTGTGCATATGCAAAAATGATGTCGGACTCCGTAGTTTTCTCTGGACCCCTGCCCAATGTGACCACTGATGACATGTATAGCCGCATGTCGTCATTTCACCGCTGGCTGTCGAGGTGGTGTCCAGCAAAAGACGTGGGCTTCATAGATAACTGGACACCTTTCTGGGGAAAACCTTGTCTGATTAGGAGAGACGGCATCCATCCCACTTTGGATGGAGCAGCTCTCATATCTAGAAATATGGCCAAGTTTATTAGTCGACCAAAACCGTGAAAACCCAGAGTTGAGACCAGGAAGCAGAGCTGCAGTCTTACAGGCTCCTCTGCGCCTCCATTAGAGCAGCTGCCCACCCAATCCTTTAGAATAGAGACGGTGTCTGTCCCCCGTCCACCTACATTATTTAAAGATAAAATAAACAGAAGAGGAGTTCATCATAACTTAATAAAAATTAAATCAACATCTCCAGCAGTCCAAAATAAGATAATTAAATGTGGACTCTTGAATATCAGATCCTTGTCCTCCAAATCTGTTTTAGTCAATGAATTAATATCTGATTATGATATTGATTTATTTTGTCTTAATGAAACCTGGCTGCAGGAGGATGACTATGTTAGCTTAAATGAATCCACTCCTCCCAGTCACTGTAATACTCATATTCCTCGAAGCACTGGTCGAGGTGGTGGAGTTGGAGCCATATTTGACTCAAGTCTATTAATAAATCCTAACCCTAAACTAAATTATAATTCATTTGAAAGTCTTGTTCTTAGCCTTACTCATCTAACCTGGAAAACATAACAGCCAATTCTATTTGTTACAGTATATATCACGCTCCCGGTCCTTACTCACAATTTTAAACTGAATTTGCAGAGTTTGCATCAGGCTTGATCCTTAAAACAGATAAAGTCATTATTGTGGGTGATTTTAATATTCACGTGGACAACCACAATGATAGTCTTAGTGCTGTGTTTATCGCTCTATTAGATTCAATTGGCTTCTGTCAGAGTGTCAATGAACCGACTGATTGTCTGAACCACACTCTTGATCTTGTTATCTCATATGGCATTGAAATCGATCACCTAACAGTCTTTCCACAGAATCCTCTTCTGGCTGACCATTTTTTAATAACCTTTGAGTTGATATTACTGGACTATAAGCCTTTTGGCAGAAACTCCTATAGCAGATGTTTATCTGATAGTGCTGTAGCCAAATTTAAGGAAGTGATTCCTTCAGTATTGAATTCAATGCCATGTCTCAATGTAGCAGAGGAATTGTCTGCTTCCTTTAGCCCCTCACAAATAGATCATCTTGTTGATAGTACTACAGGCTCATTACGAACAACTCTCGACTCTATTGCACCTCTGAAAAAGAAGATAATTAAACAAAGGAGGTTAGCACCATCGTATAGCCAGCAGACTCGCAGCTTAAGGCAAGAGGCACGTAAATCCGAACGTAAATGGCATCCCACTAAACTGGAAGAATCTCGTTTAGTCTGGCTAGACAATCTTAAAACATACAGGAAGGCTCTCTGTAATGCCAGAGCAGCCTGTTACTCATTATTAATAGAGGAAAATAAGAACAACCCCAGGTTTCTCTTCAGCACTGTAGCCAGAACAGAGAGCCTCAGCTCTATTGAGCCATCTATTCCGTTCGGTCTAAGTAGTAATGACTTCATGAGCTTCTTTAATGATAAAATTATATCTATTCGAGACAAAATTCATCACCTCCTGCCCTCAACAGGCACTGATCTGAACTCGTACACAGCAAGTTTGAAAACAGCTGTAAAACCTGATATATTTTTAGACTGTTTTTCCCCCATCAAACTTGATCAAATAACTTCATTAATTTCTTCATCAAAGCCGTCGACCTGTGTCTTAGACCCCATCCCAACCAGGCTGCTCAAAGATGTTCCACCTCTAGTTAGCCCTTCTTTATTGACTATAATTAATCTGTCTTTATTATAAGGATTTGTACCAAAGTCCTTTAAAGTAGCTGTAATTCAACCTCTACTTAAAAAGCCCACTCTAGATCCAGAGGTATTAGCCAATTACAGACCAATATCACATCTTCCCTTTCTCTCGAAGATCCTTGAGAAAGCTGTAGCCAATCAGCTGCGTGACTTTCTCCATAAGAACAGTTTATTTGAGGATTTTCAGTCAGGATTTAGAGTGCATCATAGCACAGAGACTGCACTAGTCAAAGTTACAAATGACCTCCTAATGGCTTCAGACAAAGGACTCATCTCTGTACTTGTCTTGTTAGATKTCAGTGCTGCATTCAACACCATTGACCATCAAATTCTTTCAGGTTCTGTGTTAGGACCACTTCTATTCAGTTTATATATGATTCCTGTAGGGAACATTATTAGGAATCACACCATTAATTTTCATTTTTATGCTGATGACACCCAATTATACTTATCGATCAAGCCTGATAAAGCCAATCAGTTAATTAAACTTCAAGAATGTCTTAAGGATATAAAAAGTTGGATGACCNTACTGGACTATAAGCCTTTTGGCAGAAACTCCTATAGCAGATGTTTATCTGATAGTGCTGTAGCCAAATTTAAGGAAGTGATTCCTTCAGTATTGAATTCAATGCCATGTCTCAATGTAGCAGAGGAATTGTCTGCTTCCTTTAGCCCCTCACAAATAGATCATCTTGTTGATAGTACTACAGGCTCATTACGAACAACTCTCGACTCTATTGCACCTCTGAAAAAGAAGATAATTAAACAAAGGAGGTTAGCACCATCGTATAGCCAGCAGACTCGCAGCTTAAGGCAAGAGGCACGTAAATCCGAACGTAAATGGCATCCCACTAAACTGGAAGAATCTCGTTTAGTCTGGCTAGACAATCTTAAAACATACAGGAAGGCTCTCTGTAATGCCAGAGCAGCCTGTTACTCATTATTAATAGAGGAAAATAAGAACAACCCCAGGTTTCTCTTCAGCACTGTAGCCAGAACAGAGAGCCTCAGCTCTATTGAGCCATCTATTCCGTTCGGTCTAAGTAGTAATGACTTCATGAGCTTCTTTAATGATAAAATTATATCTATTCGAGACAAAATTCATCACCTCCTGCCCTCAACAGGCACTGATCTGAACTCGTACACAGCAAGTTTGAAAACAGCTGTAAAACCTGATATATTTTTAGACTGTTTTTCCCCCATCAAACTTGATCAAATAACTTCATTAATTTCTTCATCAAAGCCGTCGACCTGTGTCTTAGACCCCATCCCAACCAGGCTGCTCAAAGATGTTCCACCTCTAGTTAGCCCTTCTTTATTGACTATAATTAATCTGTCTTTATTATAAGGATTTGTACCAAAGTCCTTTAAAGTAGCTGTAATTCAACCTCTACTTAAAAAGCCCACTCTAGATCCAGAGGTATTAGCCAATTACAGACCAATATCACATCTTCCCTTTCTCTCGAAGATCCTTGAGAAAGCTGTAGCCAATCAGCTGCGTGACTTTCTCCATAAGAACAGTTTATTTGAGGATTTTCAGTCAGGATTTAGAGTGCATCATAGCACAGAGACTGCACTAGTCAAAGTTACAAATGACCTCCTAATGGCTTCAGACAAAGGACTCATCTCTGTACTTGTCTTGTTAGATKTCAGTGCTGCATTCAACACCATTGACCATCAAATTCTTTCAGGTTCTGTGTTAGGACCACTTCTATTCAGTTTATATATGATTCCTGTAGGGAACATTATTAGGAATCACACCATTAATTTTCATTTTTATGCTGATGACACCCAATTATACTTATCGATCAAGCCTGATAAAGCCAATCAGTTAATTAAACTTCAAGAATGTCTTAAGGATATAAAAAGTTGGATGACCRACAATTTTCTGATGCTAAATRCAGACAAGACTGAAGTTCTTGTAATTGGACCCAAAAACCTCAGAAACTCTCTTTCTAGAGAATTAGTTACTTTAGACGGGATCACCCTGGCTTCCAGCTCCACCGTTAAGAATCTCAGAGTTGTTTTTGATCAGGATCTTTCCTTTAATGTCCATATAAAACACATTTCAAAGACTGCTTTCTTCCACCTATGTAACATCGCCAAAATTAGATGCATTGCTTCTCAAGCGGATGCAGAGAAACTAGTCCATGCATTTGTTACTTCTAGGCTGGACTATTGCAACTCTTTGTTATCAGGTTGCTCCAATAAGTCTCTTAGGACTTTGCAGCTAATTCAGAATGCTGCTGCACATGTTCTAGCAGGAACCAAGATCGGAGATCACATCTCTCCCATTTTGGCTTCTTTACATTGGCTACCGGTTAAATCCAGAATAGAATTTAAAATTATCCTCCTTACATACAAAGCTCTTCATGGGCAAGCACCATCATATCTTAAAGAGCTCATAGTACCCTACTACCCCTCCAGAACACTACGCTCTCAGAATGCTGGGTCCCTTGTGGTTCCCATAGTCTCCAAAAGTAGATTGGGAGCCAGAGCTTTCAGTTATCAAGCTCCTCTTCTGTGGAACAAACTACCATTTTGGGTTCGGGAGGCAGACACGGTCAACACTTTTAAGAGTAGACTTAAGACTTTCCTCTTTGATAGAGCTTATAGTTAGGGCTGGCTCAGGTCAGCCCTTAGTTATGCTGCTATAGGATAAGACTGCCGGGGGACCCCCCCACCCCTCTCTCTCTATTATTATCCCCATCTCTAAATATACATGTCTCATTAATGCATGTTACTAACTAAACTTCTTCCCTGGAGTTTCTGTGCTCTCTCATCCAGCAGGTTCTCATGGATCATGGCTGCTCCCTGTATTGGATCGTGGTTCCCACTACTGCCATGGCCCTGCCTGACATCCACTCTTGTTATTACTATTACTCATAATTCCATGACATTAATATTAACTTGTTTATTATTGTAGCATTGTTACATATTACCACCACTGCTACTGTAATCATTGTTTTTCATTGTAATTGTTTCTGTTGCGTTGTTCTGTACATGTGACATCCATTGCACGTCTGTCCGTCCTGGGAGAGGGATCCCTCCTCTGTGGCTCTCCCTGAGGTTTCTTCCACCTTCTTTTCCCTGTTAAAAGGGTTTTTTTTGTAGGCAAGTTTTTCCTCACTCGAACCGAGGGTCTGAGGACAGATTGTAAAGCCCTCTGAGGCAAAATGTGTTTTGTCAATTTGGGCGATACAAATGAAATTTGATTTGATTTGATTTGATTTAAATTGTCATTTGTTTATCATCTATTTTTTTTTTCTTAAGACCAGCAGTCCCAGCTTTTTCATTGATTTGACCTTTTTAATAAAAGTATTTTAGTGTCTGCCTTTTTAGTCAACAAGTATGTGTGTCTTAACAAATGAATCTTAAAATCAGTATTGTTAAGGAATTTTTCTGGAAGCTGGTGAAAGGAGGACTCAGGAAGCAGCTGATGTTTTATGCCAGTGGTGTCAAACTCAATCACAGAAAGGGCCAAAAATTAAAACTGGGACTATGTCGAGGGCCAAACAGGGTCAACATTTATTAAACAGGATGGACAGGATATTGGATAAATTGCAAAAGAAAACATATTTAGGTAGGCTACATTGTTATTTTATGTACATGTGCCAGAGCCAGATGTTTGGCATCCTTTCTTGGCCGCCAGTTCATTAATGTTTGGGGTTAGGTTCTTTGCTGTGGAAACCCTCAAGATGGAGTGAAGGTGTGCATCAGTGAGACAACTCCTGTGTTGGGTTTTGTTCATCTTCATCACAGGAGAAAAGCGTGAGGGGGAACTTGACGAGGCAGGCACTGGAATCTCTGGAATGCTGGAAAAATAATTTACTAACATCAAATACTCTCCAGATGAGGACGGGCACTTCAACCCCTCGGCCCCCTCCTTCAGTCTGATAACACGGATGTTGCAGCATCTGTCACGATCCTCCATGTCCACCATCTTAAGTTCAAGGTTCCTCAAAGCTGATGCATGGTCACCAACAGCCTTTAAGTTGTAATCAACAGTGTCCCTTAAAGTCAAGATATTGACAAGATATTGACTTTAATTAAACCAATACTACCTGAGAGTGATGCCAGTTCAGTCTGAATGGCATCTAGCTTGTTGGCAGTGCATCTGCCCATCTCTGTAATGGCATTGAACTCTGTAACGCGAACCCCTTTCCTCTCGTGGAGGCTCCGCTTCCGCTGTTTTTCTTTGCCATTTCTACTCCTAAAATTATAAAGTAGTCGGGGCGACTGAACAGATCAAACTCAGTGGGATAAACTAGTCAAAATGAGAGAGTCAGGACAAGAGTGGAGACCTTAAGCCGTCATATTGTCCAGCCGATCACGTGACTCTCAAAGCAGTTTATTGATATGGTATTAAATAACAGACATACAAATACCGCCCAACTAGCCGATGTCTTTTTTTTCTTTTCTTTTTGTCCACAGCCATAAAAAGATCCTTGGACAGGGAACCCATTGGTTCACATTGGTGTCAATAGTTCAATATTGTTGGCCCATTGGAACATGTTGGTGGTGAAAAATGAATTTACAAAACAAAAAAGGCAATAGAATAGAATGCCTTTAATATCATCACACAAAATTACAGCAGCTATCACTGAAAGGTGCATTTAGTAAAAAAAGAAATTAAATATAACAATAAAAATAAAAATAAACATCAGATCAGATCAGATACATCTTGATTGATCCCACACACCCTGTTACAGCAGCAGACAAGTCAGAATGAGCTAAATAAAATAATAAAAATAACACATTAAATAAAAAATACAGAATATGTATATAATTTACATTCTCTAATCCTCTTCCTATAGTGAAAATAGAGAAAATTAATGATATGTTTCCAAACTTTTTCCTATATTTAGTTTAAATGAACCTGTAACTGACAGGAAAAGTTTTTATTTCACACTGAATGCGAATGCATGGCTAGGAAGAGCTGAAATGCAACAATTTTATCCTTTGGAATTAAATCTAGTAAAGTGCCTGCATGCGTCACACAAATATACACGTTACCAAAAGCACCCGCACCTGCTATAAAAAACCCAGATGCCTCTTTTCACCCCTCAGGGCCCTTATCATCAGTATACGATTATGTGTTTTTGTGCAAGAAAGAGATTACAGGTTTCACTGTGGTCACATGGCACTGACCCACTATTACTGTCCTTCATCTAATCAACCGTGTCTGTGTGTCAACGCATCAGTGTAGGTTTATCTCGAGAGGAATTGTGTGTGTGGTCCAGCTGTTACACATGTTGTGGGAATCTAAATTTGTGCACACATTCATATCAGATTAATCTTCTATGGAGCCAAATCAGTTTGTATCTTAAACAAGTGAAGGGAAAGGTTTTTGAGTTCAATAATTTTGTCCTACACTTCTAGAATCTTTTGGAATTAATAATTTAGTTTTCCATTTCAGTTACAGATGTAATGGTTTCAGATTTTAAATTATTTCAAGTTTCAGATGGGTTTTTTTTTTGGTTCAGACTGAAATCCATGATCTGGCAATGTGGTGTGTAGCATCAAATGATTGATGAGCATAACAAAGAGGGCTGTGTTGCCTCCAGGAGATACAGGTATTGCAGTACTCAACACTTTCTATAAACCATATTCACATGATTTGCTGTGGAAAAAAGGATGCCCGTGACAGAGTTAGTTGAGTGAAATTAAACATTGAAAAAGATAAACTGTTTGACGAGGAATCACTAGTAACAAGTAATAATTCTGAAGTAGCTCTGGAGCTTTACCACAGGCCAAGGAAACAGCCCATTAAAAACAGATACATTTTGAATTGGCATTGCATTAGTATGAAGTACAGTGGATGTAAGTGTGTATGTGAGTAAGCTTATTGTACAACTAAGCAATCTAACTGTAATCATAATCCACAAACAGCTGTCATCACAATCCACTAACACCCACATTATCAACAATGTGGCAATAGCCACAATCTTGGATCTCAAAACGATATAGCACAAGGACATTTGTCCCCCGACAATCTAGGCATGTAGCAGCATAACTAAGAGCAGGTCCAAGTCAGATCTGAACCAGCCCTAACCATAAGCTTTATTAAAGAGGAAGGTGTTAAGCATATCCTTTATCATATAGAGGTTGTCTGCCTCTGGAACTCCCAAAGATGATTCCTCAGGAGAGGGCTGAAGGCTATGGTTCCTACTCTTCTCTTTGAGGCTTTAGGGATGACAAGTAGGCCTGAATTCTGGGAGCTCAGTGCTGTAGTGAGGTGAGATTGTACGAAGATCTCTTTAAGGTATGATTGTGCCATATTATTCAGGGCTTTGTAGGTGAGGAGCAGAATTTTATATCCTATTCTAAAATTGACAGGAAGTCAGTGTAGTGATGTTAATATAGGAGAAATGGTCTTTCATGTGAAATTCCTCCTCTGCTTGATGTTGATTTAATTTAATGGGGCGGGGGCAGGCATAGTCTCTTTGGAGTTTTAGCTCTGTGACTTATCTAAAGGGAGCAAATAGAAGTAAATAGGACAGCTCTGCCTCTTGCTCCCAACTCTGTGTTGTCATTTTGGATATATTAACTTAGTAATATCCCTAGATAAAAGAGCCGCTCCGTCCAAAGTGGGATGCCGTCTCATAAGGCTAGGTTTCCTCCAGAAAGTTGTCTGGTTGTCGACAAAGCCCACACCATTTGCTGTATACCACCACAACAGCTAGAAGGTAAATGTCAAGGTTGGTCGGGGTCCAGAGAAAACCCACAGAGCAAATGCACATGATTCCATGTTAACATTTGTGACCTCCAACACACAAAGCCGGCTGTTGATGCTGCTGGCATATATTAAAATTTCACTATATCTATGTTGGCATAAGCCAGCAGCTTTAGTTTGAATTCAATGTTGGCCACTCTGTCCCCTTGCATGCAACTGACTATGCAATTGACTAGTGTTGCTAACCTCACTTTTCTTTAAACTGAGTTGCCAATGATCAGAGTTTCCTCCTCAATGGGTGTGTCATTGAGTGAACTCTTACCAGTCTCTGTATCATGTTTTTTCACTTGTTCCCTAACCCTGTTTTGTCTTTGCTTTGCTGTAAGAACGCTGGCTCTGAAACTTCATCTGACAAGCGGTGAAAACTTGAGCGACAGTAATGATCATGAGAAGAATGCTCTTTTAACATGTACAAAATGACCTTTCGAAATTACAAATGAAACATGAGTTTTTAACAATTACCACTATTTATGCTTTTTAACATCTTATCATCATGAAATATATACACTTACGGCATTGCCCAAACAATGTTCCCAAGTGAAGGGCTGCAGAAAAGCCTCAGAGCATGAATAGCATGTCAGTTTCCCTCTCAAAGCAACCAGGAAGAGAATGTAAACAAGGAAGTGATGTTGCTAGCAAGTCGACCTTCAAAATAAAAGCTTCTCAAACAATTTACCCTTTTTACTGCTATTTATAACTTAAACACATATAAATGAATT